TCAAAAAAGAAATTTTCATTCATACTAAATAGAATTATCCATTACAATAGAAATATTGTGCCTCGACATACCGAGGACACAACAAAAAAAAAACAAAAAAATAATTAAGTTGACTTCACCGGATAAAAAAACAAAAACAACAAACAATTAAATTGACTTCGCCGGATCATCAGCCTTCTCGGCGACATCAGCTTCATTCACATCCTTCGTTGCTTCTCCAGCATCTTCCTTTATAATTTGATCGTACATAATGCGGCTGATGACATCAAAGACTCGATCTTCTTCCGCCTTAGCAGCTTTTTCAATTTCGGAGAGTGTCACCGGGATGTGTTTATCTAAAACGGCATCATCTCCATCAACTCTGGACATCTCGGAGGCTGTTGGCTCGTCAGTCTTTTGAGATAATTCGGCGACTTTTCTCTCTAGAAATGCTATCACAGCCTTGCGCAGTTGCTCAGGAGTCATCTTCTCAATTTCTTCCTCCATATTGACTTCGGCCAAAGTTTTAACATAAATATTGGCGAGTTCCGACTTCTTCTCCTTCTCGGCTTCTAACACCATATCAACAAAAGCTCGACGTAAACGAGCTTCCCTCTCTCGATCTGGTTCAGAGACCTCAGAACTCGCTTCAGCCTTGATAGAAGCAAGAAGATCCTCACAGAAGTTCTTCTCGTCCTCGTCAGCTTCAATATGAGTCGATGCAATGGAGGGATTGAAGTTATGACTTTTAATTTTGTGGAGAAGAAATTGACGAATAATCTCAATATCATACAATCCGTCATCAAAGCGCTCAATGATCCAGCGCAGATTGAGACAAGTATTCATCTCGAATTCTCGGTCCTCGTCCTCCGAATCAGAGTCGGCTTTGGTCTTAAGTCTGTTGGCCTCCGCCTCGAGAATCCTCCCAGCTCGAAGACCATCATTATATTTTTCCTCGGCAAGCTTCATCTTTTCTTCTTGAAGTTTACTAAGCTTCGCAAGATGGGCATCTCGGTCTTTCTTCAATAGTTCTTCGACTTCAAACCGGCTTGCCCGAGTAACTTCATGAGCATCCTGCTCCTTACGAAGAAGGGTTTCACACCGAGAAAGTTGCTCTTCAAGCATCTTAACGCGCTGCTCGGAAGTGATAATTTGACTTGTTAACTTCAATACATCAGAATCCAAGCTAGCTTTATCCGTCTTCAAAGCTTCAATTTCATTTTGAGCAATCATAAGCTGCTCGGTTTGCTCGTTAATTTTGACTTGCCATTCTTTCTCTCTGGCCGCTGCTTCTTCTTTTAGAGATGCAAGGGCTCCATCTCTAAGTTCTAAGGTATGTTTTTTCTCGTCCACTTGTGCAGCATTTAGTCGAAACTCGTCTTCAGCCATCACTAAGCTAACGAGTGCACGACCTAAACAAGCTTTAGCATATTTGAACTTGTATGCACTCGGAAGGGACGACACGCCAATCTCGGACCTCGGATCCCATACCATCATAGGGACCCGAGCAGCATCAATAACATGGCCAGGGAGTTCAACCGTACTTGAAATCTCGGGAATCTCCACCGACTCAAAAGTCGAGAACCATTTCTCGACCGATTCCCGCGGTTGTCTGAAATTTAAGAATCTTTCTTCATCAATTGGCAAGAAGGATCGATCTACAATGGGTTCCTTCTTTTTCTTTCCCCGATCGTCTGTATCGTGTTTCTTTTTCCTTCGCTCCTCGGCGGCTGGAACATTTTCTGCATGCCTTTTCTTTGACCGAGTAACTGGAACTTCTCGTTCTGCAACGATTCCTCGGCCACCATCAGGCTCATCAGAAGCAATTTCGATAATGGGCGGAATCTCTGTTGGAGTAGCCTCAACAACCGGCTCAATCTCAGGTAAAGCAGCGGTAGCGGCGGCAATGGCAGCCATAGGACCCGCAGCTGCAACAGCCAAAGGATCTGGTTGCGATATCTCAATAGCAACCGCCGACGTCGCGCCATCACCGACATCGGTTTTAGGAGGATTCATGATTGGGTTCTCCAGATATGCTTTCACCAACTTCTTTCGACCCATTCCAGATAAGCGCAACTCCTTACTCTTTCCGACTTTGGTTCGAAGATCTAAATTCGGACTTTTCTGGCGGAAAGCTTTAGCGTCTCGGATGGTCTTGAAACCGAGGACCCCAATGAGTGGATAATACACTGCAAATACAAAACAGAGTTACTACGGTTCTCAAAAGCAACCGACTTCACATAAGATCAAAAATTTATTCAAGTTTACCTGGTTGAAACGAACTGTCAGAAATTTCAGGACAGAGACCAGCAGCTTTCAGTCTTGTATTCTTCAGAATCAACTTAAAGCTACGTTGGGTCTTCTTCAACTTGAACAACTCGGTAATCCTTCCTTTCAAAGTTGGACCGAGTTTTGATCCCTTGCTCTTGGCTGCAAATAACAAAGTGTTGACCTGTTAGTACAAAAACAAGCAGTCAGGATAACTCGGTAAAAAGGAGTAAAATAACAAACTTACAAATTGCAGAATTGATATTGATAGGAATTGTCATTCCATCAATTAAAGGTTTCGAAAATTTCGGAGTCTGCCAATCTCCTCCGACCCATAACCACTCTTCTTGAAATCCATGGAGTGATTCTGGAATGTCGGTTATTAGTTCGCCGATCTTCAATCCTTCTTGAGGTCTTCCCGCGCAGGCATAACAAATTAAAGGATCGGCTACTTGCCTGTCCGCGCATCGCCTAAACGAATAAAGACTCCTTATCTCATCCACGGTTGGCATATCCCAGCCCTTTTCTTTCAGTAACACCATGAGACCGATAATCCTTTTTCATGAATTTGGTGCTATCTGACACAGCCCAATTCCCCAATTTCTCAAATAGTCAGTAATTAAAGAAGGGAGAGGAAACCGAAGTCCTGATCTTAACGAATCGGCAAATACGCCCACACAACCCGGCGGTGGACAAGTAATTCTTTCTCCTGGATAAGGAGCGAATAACTTTACTGACGAGGGAATATAAACCTCCTCTCGGAGGATGACTATGTCAGCATCGGTCAAAATACTTGGTTCTCCTCGGTATTCATCAATTGGTTCGGGCCACCGCCGAGCTGGACGTCTCCAATAGTCGGGGAGCGACATTGCATCTTCTTCGACTTGTTTGTCCTTCTCGACGATATCTTTATTCAGATTTAGTTGCTTTACCAACAAGGGATCCCATCGATAATACTCGAGAGGCAATTCCAAATCCTCATCGGTAAAAATCGGGATATCAGAAATCGTTCGGCTACTACTATCGTCCGCTTGAGCAGACATCTTTTCCGAAATTGATGGAAATGAAAGAAAATTCGAAATAGAACAAGAAAATAGAAAAAATTAGGGCAAAGCCTTACCGAGAATCGATTGCAATCAATTGACGCAGAGATGAAGAAATCGCACAAGCAACACGAAATAAAAATAGAGAAACTCGAATGGAAATAAACAGAGAAGTAAAAACGAAGAATTCGAAGATGAAAAGTGAAGAAACCCTTTGCAGTCGAAATCAATGCCTATTTAAAGGTTCTGATTTATTACCGTTGGCAAAATCTGGAAACGGCGCGTGTAACGGACGTGTCTTGAAATGGTGTAACGGTACAGTAATTATTAATACACGTGGACACGCCCAGAAACGCCATGTCGTTACACATTTATATCCGTTGGACCCATTAAATGTGGACACATCTTTTGAGAGCCGCCATGTCAGACCACGTGCCATACAAGAAATTGCAAATAATGAAGTGTTCTCATGTCGGCAGACAAAGTAAAACAAGTCGGAATAAAACAGAACAACAAACGACATCAGCAGTTATTCAAAAAGTTCTAAATACCTACTAATGTCGGGGGCCTCACTGTTGATATCCGACTTGGTTGAGAGGTTGAAGATAGTTGAAGATAGAGATTAATCGCTTTATACATGAGATAATCTTTCGAGAAAAAGGTAAACTTAAGACAAGTCGGTTACAAGGCAGTATTTATTAATTACCGACTTCCGAAGACTGATAAAAGAACCGATATCTGAAGCCAATACTAGTAAACCGACTTCAGCCCAACGAATATTATGACGAAATTAAGTTCCTCTACTTCAACCGACTACCATAAAGTCCAAATATCTGAACAGAAAATAATCATTGGAAGCATCTAATTGGACCAGCAAAACAAAAAGTAATCATTGATGTTTCCCACCGCTTAAAGTGAAGCAGCTCAACATTAAATGCGTCTTTATCCGTTTCAAACAAGAAGACAAAAATTACCGTACTATAAATAGCAAAATTTATGATGGTACGAGGATCCTTTTTCTTTTTGAGGGACACATTGTACACGGACTTATGATGATCTCGGTTTTCAACAAATAACCGACTTCTGTACTCTTGTGAATATAACAAATAAAATCAAATTGAACGATTATCTTTGTTTTCTTTACATCAACTGTATTTAATTTTGAGTTGTTAATTCAAGACAACAACAACGTGTTTAAAAAATCTCATCCCTTATCTATACAGATTGAAAAAATAAAATAAAAATCAATTCATAATTACTACTACAAATTCATAATTTTTAAAAAAAATAAAATAAAATAAAATAGAAACCAATTCATAATTACTACTATAAATCCATTATCTACTTTAAGAAGTTAATTTTCATCAGTCTAATTACTAATATTTTTACAAATATTATAAGCTAACCATACAAAAAAGTATAATAATAATTTTGAAATGCTGTGTAATCAAATTTTCTCATTCTCTTATATAAAATAATTTTACATTGTTTGACCCCGAATCTTTAATTTATAATTATTAAGTATTGTTGATCCTCTCTTTAATTTATAATTATTATTTTTTTTCTTTTTAAATAGGATCAATAGTAGTTTCCTTTTCCGCCATTGAGTGACTCAAATTCAAGGTCTATTTATAATAGTGTTAATTTAATATTATTCTCGTGTATCACACGGGATATACACTAGTTTGTATGCAAGCACGAACACACAGGCGAGGCGACCTTGATATTTGAGCCAAGGTTATTACGGTCATTTCTTACCGCCATCATTTTCAGTTGTGTTTTTCCACTTGCTTTTCAGCCCCATTTAGTAGCTTCCGATTCGGCCATAAGTTGGTGGTACTAGCCTCTACACAACCCCGCTGAGACCATGGCGGTTACAGACTTCTTCGCCGGCGAGATCGCCACCGAACTCCTCAAGCAGCTCATCGCCATCTCCCGCAAATCCGCCGCTTGCCGCTCGAGCGCCGAGCACCTTATTGAGTACATCGGGGAACTTCTCCCGATCATTCAGGAGATCAAGCTCACCGGGAACGAGCTCCCGCAACACCGCCAGCGCCAGCTGGACCACTTTTCCGAGACACTTTCTGGCGGCCTCGAGTTGGCGAACAAAGTCCTCAATTCTCCCCGTTGGAACGTCATCCGGAATCTTCGATTGGCCAAGAAGATGGAAAAATTGGAGAAAAACGTCTCTAGATTCATGAACTGTCACGTCCAGGTAGTTCGATTTGTATATTTTTGTACGTGTATGTATATTGATTTTGTGTTCCTGTGTGCGCGACTCTGTTTTTATTTATGGTTTTTGTTTGGCACAGGCGCACGTTCTTGCTGATGTGCATCACGTGAGGGTGGATATGGCGGAGAGGTTTGATCGGCTCGAGTGGCGGCTTGGGGCGATGAAAATCGGTGTGGACGGCGAAGGTGGGTGGTTGGGGGCGGCGGTGAAGAGGGTGGAGGAGGAAGAACGGTGGTGCGAGGACAATTTGGTAAATTTAGGTGGAAGTGGATTAGAACTGGGGAAAATGAAGGTAAAGGAGATGTTGATGTTGAAGAAGGATGGGAAGGAATCCAGTGTGGTTGGGATACACGGGATCGGAGGCATTGGAAAAACAACGCTCGCTCGAGAAATTTGCAAAGATAATGAAATTAAGAGTAAGTAAGCCTGTGTTTGAAAAAGTACCCTTTTTCATAAAAGGAGTTTCGAGTTTATTCTGAAACTGCGAGAAAGAAAAATTCATGTGAAATTTTGCCAAAAAATTTGTTCTTTGTTTAATTCAGATGACTCCGAATCTTGTAGTAGATTTGAGGCCATTGCTTGAGACCAAATATAAGGACTCATTTTGTCACACCACTATGTACCGTCTTCCCTTCATATTTACTTAAGGAATAATGAATAAACTAACTTTAGTATGTTCAGGTTATTTCAACAACAAGGTCTTTTTTCTCACGGTTTCCCAATCACCAAATGTGGAGCAATTGAGGTCAAAAATATGGGGAATGGTATCAGGGAATACTATTGTGGGTCATGGAGACAGGTTTCCTCAAATAAACCTAGGATACTGTGTGGAAAGCTCTGCAAGAGCCCTTTTGGTTCTTGATGATGTTTGGACACAATCTGTTCTTGAGCAGCTCCTGCTCAAGATTCCTGGTTGCAAGATCTTGGTAGTTTCACGGCTGAAATTCCCTCCATCGGTCGTTGATTGCTCCTATGAATTGGATTTGTTGACTGAGAATGAGGCAGTGTCCTTGTTCTGCCACTATGCTTTTGATCAAACTTCCATACCTTTTGTTGCTGATAAGGAATTGGTTAAGCAGGTAACAACAACTAATGGAATTGAATTATGCTTGGGATTGAGGCCTAAAGGTTTTAAAAGTCAACTATTGAAAAATAAGATTACACAAAATAAATAGTCGCTTGTTCTTTGCATCTTAAACATTCTGTTTATGTTTCTTGGCATTTTTTTTTTTCTCTGATGATTTCTAAATTTTGAACAGGTAGTGGACGAATGCAAAAGACTTCCATTGGCGTTAAAAGTGATTGGAGCCTCTCTAAAGGGCCAGCCAGAGATGTTTTGGACAAGTGCCAAGAATCGTTTGTCTCGAGGACAACTTGTTAGTGAGTCCCATGAAGTTCAGTTACTCGCTCGCATGAAATCGAGCATTGACTGTCTCTCTGAGACAGAAAGAGAATGTTTTTTGGATTTGGGTGCTTTTCCAGAAGACAAACGAATCCCACTGGACATACTTATCAATATGTGGGTCGAGCTGCATGATATAGAGGAAGATGACGCCTTTGCTATCTTGGTTCAGCTTTCAGACAAGAATCTCATTACTTTAGTGAAAGATCCAAGGTAAGTAAAATTCATTCATGCTGCCTTATATTTTCCAACTCAGAGTAACTAGTATCTTTTTTTTTTTATTATTATTATTATTATTATTATTATTATTATTATTATTATTAATATTGCTGCCTGTGTTTACTTATGATTCTGAATATTTTGGACAGAGCTGGAGATAAGTACAGCAGTTACTATGAGATTTCAGTTTATCAGCATGATGTGTTGCGAGATCTCGCCATGCATCTGAGCAGTGGTGATAGTGTAAACCAACGAAGGAGATTGCTTATGCCGAGGAGAGAAGGAGGGCTTCCGAAAGAATGGGAGAGGAATGTAGATGAGCCGTTTAATGCTCGAGTCATCTCGATACATACGGGTATTAATACTATTCAACTTAACACCGAAAAATATGAAATTACAAAGAGTGAAGGTTCGAAAATAATAAATTTTGTATTCTCTAACATAATGCTATCAAAATTTGTTCAAACTCAAACACAAGAGCTCATGAATAAGTTTGATCACATATGACTGTCTAAGCTTAATTTGATTTTTGTAAAAAAACTAATTCATATGTCAAATGAACAATCTCAGACAAGTTTGCAATGATATCGATTCAAGCCGAGCACCAAATAATTGTTATTTCTTCTTAACTGCAATAAGAACACATACACACAACTGTTCTAACAACATTTTCTTCACATTTGCCTATTAACACAGGCGAAATGAGTGAAAAAGACTGGCCACAGATGAACTGCCCGAAAACAGAAGTCCTCGTCCTGAATTTCTCCTCACCCGAATACACCCTTCCTCCTTTCCTCCATAACATGCCCAGACTTCGCGCCTTAATCCTCATCAACTACAGCTCCTCCAATGCCACACTCCACAATACCTCTATTTTCAGCAGCCTAACCAATCTAAGAAGCCTCTGGTTTGAAAAAATATCACTCCCTCTTCTACCCGACACCACCACACCCTTAGAGAAACTAACAAAAGTCTCTCTCATCCTATGTGACATCAGCAAAAGCGTCAACCGTGAAGGACTCGACTTGCCTCTCCTTTTCCCCCGTCTTTCCGAACTCACGTTAGACCACTGCATAAACCTAATCGAAGTCCCGTCAAGTGTGTGTCAGATGAAGACACTCACGAGTTTGAGCGTCACGAATTGCGATAGTCTGCGAGAACTGCCGTTGGATTTGGGAAAACTTGTTTTGTTGCAAATATTGAGGCTGTCTGCGTGTCCGAACCTGAAGAGGCTGCCTTCGGGAGTCGGGAGCCTCGTTTGGCTCAAGTATTTGGATGTGTCTGAGTGTGTGAAGTTGGGTTGTCTGCCGGAGGATTTGGGTGGGTGCAAGAGTCTGGAAAAGATAGATATGAGGGAGTGTGTGCAGATTAGGAGTTTGCCGGATAGTGTAGGGCTTTTGTCGTGCTTGAGACGTGTGGTTTGTGATGAGGAGGTTTGTTGGCTTTGGAAGGACGTCGAGAAGGATTGTCCGGGGCTTTGTCAGGTTCCCCGAGAGTCTTTCACGCTCGACTGGCTGGCTGAATAAGGGGTTTTCANGGGCATGTACATAGTGGTTATATTTTAGGAAGTTGTTACTAGTTAGTAACAAGTGTATGATATGGGTGTGTGAGGGATGACCTGTTTTGATTTTCTGTGGTTTTCTTGCTGATAAAACATTAGTTCTGGATCAGTTTATGGTTCAGAGGCTTCAAAGAAAAAGATTGATTCTGAATTCTGATTGAAATTTAAACGGCAAAAATTCAATTTTGGTCCTCTAAATTGGTCATTGTCCAATTTTGGTACATCAACTTTCCTTTTTTAAAAAATAGTCCACTATGTTACCATTTTCGTCAATTTTAGTACATTAATCCCGAGGGGCCGGATTACATGATGACGTGGACAAGGACTGAAACGATGTGGATGGATAAGACTTTGACATGGAAGGATTACAATTTTTCACATCATCACGTAATCGCTGCCCTCGGGATTACTGTACTAAAATTGACGAAAATTGTAACATAGTGGACTATTTTCTATGAGGGGAAAGTTGGTGTACCAAAACTGAACAATGATCAGGACGAAAATTAGATTTTTGTCAAATTTAAACTGTAGATTGGCGCGCAGATTATCTCATACTTCAAGTTCACTTCAAGTTCTCTATAGTACTCAATTTCAAAAGGTATGCCCGAGTTCTTAATCAAGAAGTTTTTGGATGGTAAACTCATTTTATTTGGAAAGGCATACGGGTTTTGCTGATCTCGGCCTCATTTACTTTTTAAATAGTTAAGGCTGAAATGAAAAATGAGATTTCGTGTACCAGTGTACCACAGTAATGGACATGATGTGATTCATTGAATGAAGCATAAAATGGACTGAATCAAGAAACGAAATGGTAGGAATCACATACTGATCATCTTTCAGTTCAATCATATCATGGTATTCATGTCTCATCTGTTCACATATAAATTTAAAATATTTACACATAATGAAGAAAATTTGGCAACTCCAAAAACTAGGATCCCATCATTTGTCACTGTCAAATAAAAATGTGCGAGTGTGTGCATATATATATATATTTATATATTTTAATAGGACAACGTGAAGAAGGAAAGGGGAGATAGTTTAAGGAACCTTGAAGTGACCGGTGACCAAATGAATACCACTCACGAATGGAAAATTGTCTTCATTTCACATTACTTTATAGCAACAACCTGGAAAATCACACATAATACAAATGTGTACACATCTTTACAAAGATTTTAACAAGACCAGATCACTTGGTTATATTTTTAGTATATGCCCTCCCCACACTCCTGCTTATTTCTTGAAACTTAACGAAGATTTTAACAAGACCAGATAACGATGCTTAGTTATATTTTGAGTGTTGGATCGGTTACCATGTCGATTGATGTTTCTTAATTGTTATGTCTGAAATTTATAATTTTAGTAACATATAAAAAGAATTCTATATCTTTTAAATAAATTGTACTTGTATTAAATAAATTCTATATTTCTATACATTTATCTTTTCTTCCCAATTATAAGTTTCAACTGTGCTTTGCATCCTTTATCATCAATCCAAACTTTAAAGTTTTATTCATTTCGATTTGATTCATATCATCAACCACAAATTTATTTCTTAGGTTGCCGTTAGCTCCTCTTTTCCCGTAAAACCTTTGATAATCATACAAGCGGACAGAGAGACAGGCTGACATAGCTAATGAAAAAATCCACACCTTTACCAGTAAAATATAACATTCTTAATGTATACAAACGCTCTTTTGTCAACCCTTACAAGACGAGAAATCCTTCCAAGTACATTTTAAGTAAATTTTTCCTAATTTAAACTTACAGAAGCAAAGAGTATACAAAATCGTAACTTAACTCACAGGAATCTAGAGGGAATATACTCGTTTATTCTTAACGGATAGCTGTAAAACTCTTCATTTCTGCTATCTCCTTTCCTACGGTGAAATGGGACCAACCATGGAAGTCCTCGATCGTCAACCGAATGTCTAGCTTCGAGTGTATTGTCCAAAAGTGCACCAACTATTAGTGCCACAGTAGGTGGGGATGAGAATATTGTGTTCAAGATATCGTTGAACTGCAAAAGGAAGATGGATATTATATAAGTCACCAGGGAAAATAATTTATTTTCCTTTTACTTCCTCTAGTTAGGGTATGTTCGGTAACCAAATAAGCTATAGTTTATAGCTTATTTGGTTAGCTTATAAACTTCATGTATTCAAATAAGCATCATTTGGTAGAGAGAGCTTTTTTAAAAAGTTCGAACTTATCTCATAAGCTTCTTCACATAGCTTTTCAAATAAATTAATTAAAATTTTTATTTCAGCTAGCTTATCAGCTAATTTTACCAAACACTTTTATCAAATAAGCTTAGCTGGCTTTTCAGCTATTAACCTAAGGTATAAGCTAGCTTATCAGCTGACCTCCAGGACCGTCTTTTGAAATATCACATATAATATAATCTCTCATCGTGGCAAAATTACGTCCCCTTTCCAAGAAATAATAAAATAAAAAAACACAAATGCAAGACTATTACCCATCCTCCATTTGTCCGAACAGGTCCATGCCCAGCTGCATCTGTGTTCATGATGAAATATTGAGGTATTGATATTCCCAAGAACAAGGAGACGCCCAACACATATATGTTTCGCATGGAGTTATTGTTCGTGAACTGTATGAAGGAAATCCCAATAGCAGCTGCAAAAAAGTTAAGAAAATCAGTGACTTTTTTAGGATGAAACCAAAAAATAAATAAATAGAAGATGATGCCTTACCTACAATACCATATAAGATGCAGTATATTGCGGCAAATATCGGCAAAGGAATTGATGCAAAAAAGGCTCCGAATTTTCCTGCAAAAACAAGAATAGCCAATGATAAAATCCCCAAAAGAAAGCAACAGCATTTCTAACTTAAAACGCATAAACAAAATATATAGTGGCCAAATAGTCTAACCAAATATCGAGAAAAAGATCATGAAAGCTGTGGATATCTGAACTACTCTCCTGCTCCCAACACGAGTTAGTCCAAGGAGGCCGACATTTTCGCTGCAAGAATAACAATTTAAGAATAATTTCAATGGCGAAGCTAATTATGCGAGAAAACTTGGTTCAGTTTCATGTTAAGAAAAAGAAAATAGTTATTAAATCTATTAATAGTATACATTGACTGAAGAGTCTTGATTACATGCATACTTAAAACTAAATTTAGCTGTCTTATGTTAGGTATCTCGAGCTAATGCATCGTTTTTAACTATGAAAATTTTCCATCGACTTGAGTTTTTTTTTTTCTTTTTACAATGAATCTGAATCTTACACTGAAGCAGCAGTCCCAACTACAGAACCAAATATTCCCTGAAGCAGCTGCCCTAACCCCTGAAAATGGACACGTGATACTTGCAAAACTATTTCAGAGAAATAACGAAATATCACGTTATGAAGTCGGCCATACCTGCAGACCAATACTCCTACTCAATACATGTCCAGGGGGTGAGGTTGCACCAGCCAGCCGTGCTGCAGCATAAAAAGTTCCCGTTGACTGCAAATATCAACATTTCATTACAGCAGCTGAAAAAAATACTGCTTATTCAAGAGGTAATACATACAGTCAAATAAGCATAAATACAATAGGAGATATAGAGAATGCTATCAATAAATTTAACGAGCAATTCTCAGTTTATGTGGATTCCAAAAATAAAAGAAAAACACGAGAGAAAATTTTGGATGCTTGGATATAAATTTTTTTGGATTTGTTTGGATTTTTTTTATTTGGTTTGGTTAGTTTTGAAAAATATGGTATGTTTAGTTGTTAGATGGTATATTGAAATAATATTTAAAATAAAATAATTAAAGTTGATCTGATGTAAAAGTAAGAGAAATGTTTTGAAGTGATCGTTAGTTAAAATTTATGTGCGTGGATGAATAGTAAATTAAAGTTGATGTGGTGTGTAAGAATGATTAATTGATATTATTTAATTATATTGATAATATTGATGATAGTGTGGTTGAGTTAAAGTTGAGTTAACAAAAGTGGTTGAGTTAAAAATGTTTGAATTTTTTTAGAAGATTTGTACCCAAGCATCCTTAGTTTTAACTACTGCTTCACTTATAGTACAATACAAGTACAATACAAGATGTTCCCACAATAATTAAAAGCTAAATTTTTTTTATGAAACCAAAAACGCCAAAAAGATGCTAACTCGTCCTTTAGAAGCAGAAAAACGAACCTCAGCAGAAGATACAAGTGCAGCACCCATCATCCCAAACACATGACTTGCCCTGAAAATAGGCGTACCCCACTGGAAAGGGTACGGAATCTTGATCCTACAATTTAATAATAAATCAAGGGAAGTCGATTTCTAGAAAACTAGAAACATAAATGATTCTGAAAAAAGAAAGTTACCATGGAGCTGATGAGATGAGAAAAGAACGATCCGTGCGGCAGCTCGATTTCGTCTGCTCCCTCACATTGTTGTAAGCACCAGCAGCTGTAAGAATTGCAGCAAAAGCCCAAATAAGCCCAATACACACTAGCAAAGCAAATCTCTCGAGCATGGGCCGCGTAACTGGATGGATGTGCTGTAAGTACTGCGTGTAGAGTAAAATTGTCATATTGCTAAACCTCTTTTATTAATTGGAAACACAAGTTGTAAAAACGAAGTAGGAGCAAAATGGTATCATCTTACTTGTTGCGAGATCACGAGGAGAATCAACATCGGTAAGCCGATCTCAATGCAGTTTCCCACCTGTTTTAAGATAAAACAGAAACTTTTTTAAAGTCATTTTATGTGTTCTACATAGGAATCTCATTTTTAATGATGTTGTAAAAGAGAAGTACCTGGGGGAATCCCCTAGAAAATAAGCCAAGACCAACTACACAGACGGCTGGTACTAAAACCACCGGACTTAAAAATCTGTTTTAAAATTTTAAAGGTCAGAGACAAGAAAGAAAGAAAAAAAAAAAAAAATCTGAATTCTTTAGGCATATGCTTCAATACCTTGTAAGGTTTCCCCAGGCATTGCTGTATCCAAGTATGATGTTTACGAAGGAAGATACTATCAGTGATCCTTGAATGGCTCTCATAGTGTGAGAGAATCTCTAAAAGAGTAGTATTGTACATATAAACAGAGGAAGGCATGAACAATTTTCTAAAACGCTTTAAAGCATTTAATCTGATTTAGGATTTAAGAAATTGAGTGTCTTACCTCATGCTCGCTTGAGAAGTTACTATCAGAAAAATCATTGATGACTGCCAAAACCGATATAAAATAAGCAAATGATGGGCCCATGACAGTTGGGAGTCGAGTCCCAAACCACGTCTGCAAGAGAGTATTTATTCCCGACATGAAGAGCAGTGACTGGATCACTCGAGCTCTATCACCCTGTTCATAAACTTTTTCACTTAGGCAATTAATAATAAAAAAAAAAATCTAATAAAATACTACAATTATTCACTTCTTCTGGTTATTGTAGTTTTTTTACAAACTTACAGGTCCACCACCCATGCGAGGCACGAGTGAAGAGGCAATCATAACAGTTGTCCCGAGCATGACAATGTAATGCTGGAAAGCCAGAATCGCTGTTTGTACTGCAAGGTGGATTATTATCGACGAAAATTGGTAAGAGACTGATAAAATTGTCTATGTTGGAATAATAAGATTACACCAGTGTCAACTATGGCCTTACTAAAATAGGAAAGCATATATGATAATCAAAAGAAGAAGAAAAAATGTCTTGATTTCAAGAAAACTGCTGGTGAGATTTTTAAAAAAAGCTGTTCTGAGAAAATCACAAACTTCACAGAATGCTCATGTTTTAAAATTGGCAATTTGCGAGGGGTGTTAAAAATGGCAATTAGCTGAGGGGTGTTAAAGGTGTAAACTTATGTACACCAAATACAAACCTGAAGGCTCCATTTATCAATTTGAGAATATAAATTAGATTATTCTGTAATTAGACTAAACATTAATGGTTTTCTATTGGCGATTTAATTCCTATTTAACTTGCAGAACTCCAGTTTGGCTGGTTTACAAAAACAAAAACAAAAAAAATTGTAGTAATATAGTCAGTCGCCTTTATTCAGCACAAGTAAAATAATAAATCAGAATTCATCAAAGTGAATTTAAGAAAATTCCATCCAAATAGGCACACATGTTGGAAAAGGCTAGTTAATTTATTCGACACAGCCTTTTCATGTCACAGATACACGGTGAGGCAGCATATACTTTCTTCATCCTTCACACCCCACATACACATACAAAGAAAGAACCAAAAATAAAATAAAAAATAAAAAAAAAATACAAGCATATATTCTAATTCAAATTGGTGTTCAACTTCACAGCCCGGTATGTACAAACCATGAAAATGAGATTACACACCAAACACTTCAGACTAGTGGATCCATAATACCTAAAATACAAACACCTAAAATATAATATTTAAAAGATCTTTGACAAACAGTGAAATCCCCAAAACACGAAATACATTAACCAAAAAACAACTTCACAAACCTGATTAATTGAGTGAAACTCAATGAATATTCATATGTATACACATGCACGAGGTGTAAGAAGATGGTGAAAGTAATTTACCCCAAGAAGGGTTGGAGTGTATGCAGTAATGGAGCTGAAGGAGCTGCTCCGCCGGAGGGTAAAGGGGACCCCTGGCGGCACCAAGCGGAGGTCTCACTGCCGGCGGCGGCGCCGACTGACTCGGCGGCGCATGGTGGTGGTGGTTGTGGTTCTCTGTCTCTACCATTTTTTTTTCCTCTTTTCTTTTTTTTCTTTTCACACTTTTTATTATAAAAAATCTTCTACAAAACTCTATCCTTTATGACCTCGCAAACTCGATTTGTATGCACCGACAGCTGATTACGATTGTTTCTGGGAATATGTGCACAACCCAGCAAGTGAATAGCTATAAATTTTCTTCAGAAGGTTATAGAATTTTATTTTATATATGTATGTAAGCGGGATTTTATAATAACTGAAGTGAAAGTGAAAAAAATAAAGAATAATTAAATATATACAGATCGGATGAGTACACGGTGGTACTATATTTATTATAAAAAGCCTAATTATTACACGACCCGTTTTCTTACGTGTGATGATGGTATGGTAAGAAATAAAGAAATTGCAGTGGCTTTTAATGAGAGAGATAAGATGGGGATTACGGTAAAGGCTTTTGTCCTTTTATTATCGGACATAAAGCATGGTGTAGCCGCGTGGGACCGCAAACTTCGAGGCTTGAGTTTCCAAGAATGACCCTGATTTCTATCTCTATAACTAAATTGCCATCCATTTTATTTTTTCCATTTTTTTTTTTTTTTTGAAAAAAAAGATAAGAGTTCATTACTGGAAGTCTATAACACACAATTACAACTTGTTCAATAGCCAAAAGGGAAAGGCCTATCAAAAGTAGCCTAATGCCACAACATAACACTACAAACACACAACAAGACTCCACAGCGGAAGAGTATATATTCCCAACAGAAAAATACACACTACCCAACGATGGAATAGACACTACAAAAACAGAGAAAAAAACACAGACGCACACTCACAACAAACATAACAACAAAGGCACAAAAATAACTAGATTAATGAACTTCCCACAGTAGCGAATCCAAATCGAACAAAAACGACACTGACACCCACGGGCAACCACCCACATGAGCATAGACCCAGTCCAAATCGCTAAGCTAGAAACTGCAGAATAAACGTTTAACTAAAAAACTTTACTCCACCTGGGTAGACAACCCTAGACCCGCAACCGGAGATCAACAACAAGCTTCACCATCCCAGTCCCGACGACTCGGGCCCAGGACACGAGACCCGACCTCGACTCGACTCCACCAACACAATTGAAAGACCCAAAAGTAGAGAAATCGGGAGAAGGGAGGAAAGTGAAATGGCCCGATCTCAGCCCGATCACCACCAAAAGAGATGATGGAAGCCACAACCCTTGGTCGCGAGCTCGCCGGAAACTCACCGCCGCCCAGACGTCGGGGAACCACTGGTCAATGCCCTCCTTGGAAACCTAATAGGAGGCGAAATCCAATTTGGGCAAACCCGCCACCTCACCCAATAAAAGGAAGTTGCCAGTCCGACGAGCCTTCGAAAGCCGGCCGCACGGCCCGATGATGGCCGCCGCCGAGATGGCCTGGAAAGACCCTGTTGGGGAAGGAGCGCTGCTCGGTCGAAGGAGGGTTTGGTTGATTTGCATCAAGGACATCATCAAACTAACGCACATGGTGACGGTAGATATCCTAACAGCACATCCTACATGTCGACGACTGACCTGATTTTCCAAGGATAAAAACAATGATTTATTGATATTATCCACAGCTTATTCATCAAGTCACTTCATAAGTTTAACTTAGTTCAACTCGGCACAGACAGGGTGACGAACCGACTTCACTCATGAATAAAAACGACCTCGCGCTAAAGACAAATGACCGTCTTCTCGAAGGTTCTTTTCTGAAGATTATCTACATAAACCGAGGTCCGAGGTAACCGAGATCTAAAGCAGCTGACAAAGCGCGTGTGCGACTGGACCACATAATATATTAACAATCATTGTTGTTCCCCTATTGACCTACAGACCGCTTCAACTAAGCTGCTCAACATTAAGTGCGATCCTATCTACCTCGTACGAAAAGTCAAACACACACTACTATAAATAGCAGATTTTATTATTGGACGGGGATCTTTTTACACATTGTACACGCATATGCAACAAAAAGCTCGGTCTTACATAATACCGACTTCTTGTACTCAGCAAAAACACAGAAATAATACAAAGTTTACATCTTTTATGCTTTAATTACATATTCTTATAGTTTATTATCGTTGTTAAATTTCGTACAACAACACTACATACAGCAATATTACCCAAGACAGTAAGAATATTAATCCAACAAACTGAACCTCACCCAAGTGAATCAAAGTAATATATACTGCATATATATGTCTGTTTAATATCTTAAGGGTTAAGAGAATGCAGTAATTAACCGAGGCCTAGTTCGTTTACGACGATCAGTATAAAATGAACTTCTCCTCTTTGGGATCCTGTTCAATACATAAATTTACTAGTGCAACTAATCAGCCAAGACCAACTGCACTGTTGACACTACAACCGTTTGGATTGGGTGTTCATTTCCATCTAGGTTGTGAACCACAATTCTTGTTTCACAAGTAAATGATAGAATGGTCTTCTGTTCGTTCGATGACGACCCATTTTATCTAAATGCAAAACAACAGAACATAGAACTCGTTTAATCTAACATGATTCTCATTCATAAAGGGCAAAATGTAATATCATTCAAAGACAAGCTTTCAGTATATAACACTAACACTCCAGACTATTTCTTGATAGTTTTAAGCCTTTAAAATTGCCCAATCTCACCTCAGCTGCAATTAACCTTGAGAGTACTTCAGAGACTAGGATGAACATGTAGGGGGACAAGGGGTCCCCCTGCCTAATGCCCCTAGTAGGAGTCACAAACCCAACATACTTCACCATTTAAATTAAAGGAAAATGCAGTAGTCGAGATACAAGTTGAAACCCACTTAACAAAAATCCTGTCAAAGCCCATTTGCAAAAGAACTTTGATGATGCTAGTCCACTCTAGCCTATCATATCCTTCATCATATCCAGCTTCACAGCCATATAGCGTTTCCTACTAGATCTGTGGCTATTTAAAAAATGTATTGTCTCCTGAGCCATGATAACATTGTCCATGTGTTGTATGTCAGGTAAAAAGGCAGCTTGACACTCGCTAATTCAATTAGTAAGGTACCCTTCGAGTCTAGTAGTCAGCACTTTGGAGATGATCTTACAGGACCCACAGAGACTGATGGGTCTAAAGTTGCTGAAAGAAGTTGGATTTATGCATTTGGGAATGAGTGTAATTAATCCAATTCCTGAGTAATAAGGCAGAAGTGAAGAAACTCATCATAGTCTTGTAGAGATCCTCTTTGACTATGGCCAGAAATGTAGAAAAAATAGAGGAGACGTTCCATCCTCTCTGTTCACGTGTAATACCTTTCCAACAAATATAGAATTAAAGCATAAATGTGCAATTTAAACACCAATAATGCAATGACTAAGCTCTAGATACTCAATAAATATGGTGTAAAATCACACATGAACAAACCCCCAAACTTAAACCATTGATAGTCCCGATCAATGCATCAAACTCCTACCACACACAAGAGAAAAACAATCACACTCTCAAAGTCAATCATACACATTATCAATAGGCATCGGGCAAGTAACATACTAAATTCCGAAATTTTTAAACAAAAAGAATGCTTCATCAAAATCATGGTCAATGCGTTCAATCCACAAACCTCACCGGATAAGTGTATACTCTCCCTCTCAAAAGTATATAGGAAAAATAATCGCTCAAATCAATTCAATGCCAAAGAATTACCATAAGCTTGCAAATCGTCTACTATCTCCACCACCTATCGTGCATGCACTTCATGAATCAAAAAGGACTTTTATTTGGTTGTAATGTAGGCTCTTTGGTTAGGGTAGGAAATATATGGATAAAGTGACGAAACTCGAGCATCTAGAACTACAAAACATGAACTACACCATCTCATCACCCTCCAATTATAATCAAACCACTCAAAATCAATCCATACCCCTTTCGATCAACCCTCAAGCCATAAGAAAATAAAAATCCAACCAAACTACAAATGCCTTATTCGAATCAAGGCTTTCTATATACACAAATTCATCAAACTTGACTTTTTTTTTCTTTTTTTTTCTTTTTTTCTTTTTTTTTTCCTTTTTTTATTTTTTTTTTTACAAATATCCATAAGCTCATCAACCTTAAACTTACATCATCAACCTTCCCTATTCATCCCTTTATCCATACCACAACAAAACACTCATCCTCTTTTCACATAATGTAATCCTAAATGCTCAAGTAAGGACAAGGATAAAATATAGATATAGCTCAATATGTGGCTTCCAAGAAAATAGGCAAAAGCTCAAAAGGGTGAACTAGAGAATATAACTATCAATCGGTAAGCTAAAAGGTCAAAAGGCTCAAAATCATAAAAAAAAAATGCCTTAGATCATTTTCACAAAAATGCACACACCATGTGGTCTCGACATAAATACCAATGCAAGTTCTAGAATTCCATTAACAATGAACGATACACTCAATCAACAAAATATACGGCTCAAAAGCTCACAAGGATCATGTATTCATGGATCAAAAACATCAACCAATCATTCAAATTCACAACTCAATTCATCATCAAATTCCATCACCTAGCACAATACGCCCGAATCCCATATCAAATATGCACAAAAAAACTCATCGAGGTGAATCCAAGTAGATCAACTACAACTACTAAAATCCTAAGAAAGCAATAAACGTGCTAAAGCAATAAACCTAACATGCAACTAAATGATATGCAAAAGTGATGTGTTTCTTGAATCCTCTAAAATAACTCCCCCAAACTTGAATGAAATTCTATGAAACACAATGAGAGAAATAGAAATTCATAGCTAAGGATCAAGAAACACTCACAAAACCTCACTGAGGTGGTGGGCCAAAATGGCCCTCATCCATGTGCCATTGGTGCATTTGACGAATCATCGCCATCATCTCATTTTGGTCCGCTCTCATCCCCATCATCTCATTCTCCAAGTTCGTCATCCTCGCGCCTAAGCTCAAAGGGGGAGGAAGAGCTAGCCTCTCGAATCCTTGGGTAGAGCTCTCCGGGACATCCATGTGATCATCCTCGTCATGGTCATAGGCTTCTTCCTCCTCAACATTCGGGTGCTCCTCAACTCTTTGCCGAACATTCCTTCGCGAACCACCGACCGCACGTCCGAACTCCGCTTGCACCTCATTGATGGCGACGGAATGCGCCTCGCTCACCATCTTAATATTCGCCACATCGTTGACACCCTCGATTGTGGTCAAATGGGTGTTCGGTAATGGGAAGTGGTCATGAGCCCGTTGCAACAACAAATATCGGCCGGCTTCTTGGCGTACAAAATTCATGGTCTTGAGAGCCGCCATGTTAATGGAAGGGGTCGCACTGATGGGAGTCATCGTGCTCAAGTCAACCCCACAATAAGTAGCAATGGGTGTGATCATGCCACCCACACAAAT